GGAAGGCTTATGCCCAGTCTCCGGCATCACTACTCGGCTGCCATGCTGGAATATGAGGTTGGTATTAGCATAACTTCCAGTTCTTCAAGAAAAGCTGGAAATTGGGATGTTTATGTGAAATTTTCGGATTTAGCAAAAAACGCCATTGACAGAAAAAAGCTGACAAAAATGCCAATTTGCTAACCTCGGTACTGGATTAAAACTGCATGGGTTCAGCTCCCTGCCCCTTGTCTGTCTTTTTATAAGTGTCACCCAGCGTCTACCCCAGCGCCTGCATGTTGAAAAGCAGTTAGCAAATATTTGTTGAATGCTACTCAGTTGTGGGGGCTGGAATGAAAACTGGGTTTTCAATAGTTTGATAAACTTTCCTAAGAAGTTAGAATCTGGTCAGTGAAGCTCCTTTTGCTGTTTCCAGACTGGCCTTTGAGAATATCTTTGTCTCTTCTTTAAATTTCAGATACAGAGGCTAGCTTCCTGATCAGAAAGATGGAGAATTGTTAATTCATTTATGAAAACGCAGCACAGAACTTAAAAACAGAATTTTTAAAACAAAAGTCAGCTTTCCTTATTTAAAAACTTCTTGTAGAGTGAAATAAGGTGTTTTCAATGTGGTATTGCAAATGAAGAGTGAATATGGGAAATTTGGGAATGTAATATTTAATAACACTTACACGTGATTTTTGGGAAAACCTGACAAATACAAAACATTTCACAAATAAGACTCTGATGCCACTACACCAATCAAATAATGAATGTTCTGAATACATAAGTTGAGTGATAATTTATTATACGAACACACACACACCACCAGAGATTGCAAATGGAGGTGTGCTGGAGGGTATTTTGTTTTTCCTAGGGTATTTGGATTAATCTTCTCACCTGCTTTTTTGCATGGAGCTCTTGCATGGAGTGTTATAACTGGGACAGGAGCAGATGGAAAAAACTGCCTACCTGTATAAAGGATTGCATTCTGAAGACCCCATTGTGTTACAGGACAGCAGGCCACAACCACTGCTCAGTCAAAGGCTCTTCGCCAATTTAACTTCACATCCACGGTCCACCATTAAGTCTTTCCTGCTCACTCTTTAGTCAAAGGCTCTTCGCCAATTTAACTTCACATCCACGGTCTACCATTAAGTCTTTCCTGCTCACTCTTCAGTAAGCAGCCAGTGAGGAAGCAGGACACAAATAAAATGTAAATGCTCATGAGATATGGGCGTAAGTGCTTGTGAGCTGGTAATCTGCCCACAGAAGGGTGTCCAAGGAGGGACCTTGTGGCCTTGGGCTCTTTATTACCCTTCTTTATTGCCAAGGCAAACATCTCAAATGCCAGCTTAGTAGATGGGACTTTTCTGATACCATTCACTTGACCTCCCAGACCAGATAAATAACAGCAGTAGCTACTGTTTGCTTGCAGCGGACTCTCTGCTGGGTATTTTCCACGCAGGATCTCCTTTGCTTTGTCCAACCACCCTTTTGTCAACCAGGAAGTTGCTGAGAGGGCAAAGTGATCATCACATAACGTAAGAACAGTATTACCAGGTCATGTGACCTGTGTGTACCTGGCACATACCTGTACCTACTGGCGTTTTTTTCCTTCTCCTGTTTTCGTAGTGCAACAGCATCTAACTCCTGAAGGCATGGACACATAGGGATATCCCTTTCGGTGTCTCTGTGACACATTGTTACTACGTATATAGTGGATGCTTAAAAATGTTGGAGATTCTTTGCAGTGATTTTTGCGGTTACTGAACTCTTTAGGGTGAAAGAATCCAGTCTTCCCAGACTAGAATGATCTCAGCATGAACTGGCAGTTGCTCAGTCAGTAGTCTATTTGCCTGGCCTTGTGTGCGGCCCATGGTGGGTAACAAAGAAATAAAAGACGTGCCCTCTCCTTTTGGGGATCTGGTAATCTGCCTTTAGACATGGGTAAGAAACACCCAAACCACGGGCTCTGTGGGTTAGAGGACTGCCTCTGATGCCACTCTGGCCATGCCCCCCACCCCACTGCAAGAGCCTGTGGGACTCAAAGCCACATGTACCCTCTTCAAGAGCATGTTCTGGGTATTCAGGGGCTGAAATTCCCTACTCACTCATCCCCAAGACCACTTCCAGGGCCTGCACAGGTATCCTCCAGGGCCTGACACTTGGGCATGAGCAGGGTTCCAGGTACCTATCCCCAGGCCTGCAGGTGACAGCTGCTTACAGGCTGTGGGGGGGAGGAGCTTGGAGGAAGCAGCCTGGGGCATCCACAGGGAACCGTTGAAGGCAGGTTGGCGTGGGATGGATCAGGGTAGCAGAGAAGGCACTGGGTCTCCACCACACTCCGGTACGGAGTGGCCAGGTGCCCAGGACTCGAAATCAAGGCTGGATCTGCAAGGCATTTGGAAGCCGCATTTGTCCAGATAGGGGGCATAACACTTTCTCCTTTAAGAGCTTATCAGGTTGACTGAAGCCTCCCTGTGGGAGGTGGGCCTCCATTGTGGACTCTTGTTCCACTCTCTACAGTGTCAGGGGCAGGCCCTGCTGTGCCATCGGCTTCCCTCCCACCCACACAGGTTGGCCACCAGAGTGCATGCCCAGAAGGCCCAAGGCTTGGTGGAGGGGTTTCTGTGCCTCAAGGCTGTTGCAGAGAGGATGGGAGAGGGCCCTGCCTCTCTCAACTTTCTCTGAAATCACCAGGGCTCATTTGCATACCACCATTTTGCTTTTGGTGACTGGGGAAGTGCTAAACCTATTAACAAATGCCATGCTGCCTTGCTTCCTTCCTTCCTTAAAATACGTTGGAGTGCTTTGGCTCAAGTTGAGTGGCTCTGCAAGTGCAAATGCATAATCAGCTGACAGCAATTTCAAAATTGCAGGTCTTGCTGCTGATGGAAAAATGGGAACGTTGTTATTCCTTGTGTGTAATTTTCACCAAGAAATGGGGGGCTGAATTTAATGTCAACACTTAGAAATTTAATGTGGCCCTATTGCTGGAAAAATATACCTTTAGCCAAACCCTGCCTTAAAACAATGTCTGCATTGTCTTGCTGCACCCCTCACCCCCATTTCCCATTCCTGAGAAAAAATGGGCTTGAAAGAGGGTTCAGCTCAGTACAGGGCTGGATCCTGCCCTCCGTCTCCATTTCCTGGGCACAGATGGCTCATCAGCGGAGCCTGCCTCTGCCTGGAGGGAACCCACCACCTCTGTTTGTTGAGGAAATTGGGTGGGAAGGAGTTAGGGGGGAGAACAAGAATGGAGGAATAGGGTGGGGGCAGTTTTACATTGTTGTGTCCAACCCAGCTGGGAGATGGGGGCGGTGGGGGTTTCCTTTCAAGCATTAGGTCACTGTGGGGCGCCCTTGCCCAATTTGCCCTCACTGCCTCAAAAAGGCTTCCTGGTGTGTGTTTCAAATGAGAAGAAATTCAATTTGATTTGATTTTAAAAATGCAGAGTGTGGCTGGGAGTGGTGGCTCACACCTGTAATCCCAGCACTTGGGAGGCTGAGGTGGGCAGATCATAAGGTCAGAAGATGGAGGCTATCCTGGCTAACATGGTGAAACCCTGTCTCTACTAAAAATACAAAACAAAACAAAACAAAAACAAAAACAAAAACAAAAAAAAGCCAGGCATGGTGGCATGCACCTGTAACCCCAGCTACTGGGGAGGCTGAGGCAGGAGAATTGCTTAAACCCGGGAGGGCGGAGGTTGCAGTGAGCCGAGATCCCGCCATTGCAGTCCAGCCTAGGTGACAGAGCGAGACTCTGTCTAAAAAAGCAAAAAAGAAGAAAGAGGGGTTATCAGGACTCCCTTTGAGATGGATAATTGGTGCTACTCTGTGGGGTTAATGGAAACCAAGGTGGTTACTCTTTGGAGACTAGCAGAAACACCACAGCTTATGGGAAAGTAGCATTGGCCACATATGTTTCCTCTAGCTATTAGTAATTTGTCCCTCAAATCAAGTCCAATAAAACTAATGAGTTAAGCATCTGCTTTTAACTTCTTCCCACTGAACTGCCTGGCAGGTACCTCCTTGTTCTCTGGGGAGCAATGGTTTGGATGCACGCACTTGTTAAAACCAGGTTTCACGGGTTTGCTCTGAACCACGCCCTCACACTCCTCCAGCTGATGCCAACCATGAACAAAACTGGTTAACAGTGTCAAGACTTCTTTATAGCGCGGCTCCTCTTGAGGCTGGCTCCACCTTCAGCTGCACGGCTAGGGCTCGCCCGCCTCTCAGAGGGCATGGAGTGCTCCTTCTGATGTTTGTGTCTTTGAGGAAGCAACTTGCAGAGGCCAGGGTGAATCTCTAATGACTGTCTTCTCATTAGCACAGACTGCAAGCCCTGTTGTGCACATGGAAGAAACTCAGTTCAGACCCAGGGATGGCTTCGGGCTGCGGGGTAGGCAGGTAGTCTGCTTAGGGCGAAGACCCGGACCAGCGTGTAGGTTGTCCCAAATGCCCTTGGCACAGGAAGAAAAACCTCTGGACAGGGTGCTATGGTTGTTTTTAACTATTTCTTGGCTTTCCATGGGGGTGAGGTGGAGGCCCAGGTGGTACTTCCAGAGCCAAGGAACAAAACCTGCCCTGGAGGGGCTACGCCAGCCATGGTTTGGTCTCAGAGAGACTGAAAGCCCACCCCTGTGCACAGCGCTGAGTCCCAGGGCATTCAGGCCACACCTGCAGCCGGTGCCTTGGGTGAGGCTGAGGGCCTTGAAAGGGCAGGCACATGTGCCCAGGTGCCTGCTGGGCTCTGAGCAGGCTGGCTGCTGCCCAGCTACCCAGACCCTCCATGTCCTTCCATGCCCTCAGTCCCAACTCTTCCTGGGGGTTGCGGAGAGCAGAGGATGCACAGTTCCCTCCAGAACCTTCCTAAGACCCAGAGCTGTAGCAGGGAGGGTGTGAACACGCGTTTCTGAGACCTCAGCCAGGTGGCAGCTCTCACTCCACACCCTTGGGGGCCCCTGAGTGGGGAGGCCTGGGCATGCTTACCTAACATTACCCTGTGCTTTGCAGACGGACTGTGCCCTATGGACTGTCCAACCACAGAGGACGCTTCCGGCGGGGCAAGAGGTCTGCGGGGCTGCCTCCGGGGAGCCTGCCGCTCTCACAGCGGCCGCACCTGCGCTGCGCTTGTGCGGGGAAATACGACAAGGCCTGCCTGCAGTTTTGCACCCAAACTCTGGACGTCAGCAGGTATGACACCTCCTCTAGCTTCACTCATTTGCAGACGTGAATCAACCCTTGACTTGGCCAGGCCAGGGGCTTCTAGGAGCGTGCAGGATGGTTCAGTCACAGCCTGACCGCTGTCGTCCTGTGGGCCAGAGAAAGGAGATGCTGAGCCCAGAAAAGACCCAGGTCCTCAGCATCAGGAGGGCGGGAGGCGCCATGTCCCCACCCACTCGCTGCCTCTCGGGGCAGAGGCTTCACCGTGGCTGTGGCTGAGTCTGCTCTCCAGACATTGTTTTTCTGGCCTGCACAGCACACTGTGAAAATCTGAATAAGTTGCCAACACTTAAAAGATGGAAGAATTAACCCCCGCCGAATACATATTTTTAGCCTTTTTGAAAACAGCACATGATAAGAGCGCAAAAGGTTTATTGGGGGAAAAAAAACCAGCATGTAGGACCATCTGGCCTCAGAGCCCGCCCATCGCTTTGGCCACTATTGGCTGGAACTGAGTGGAGGCATCTCACGTTTGAGTAGGATGTTGAATATCCATTTACCTGTGTTACTCATTGATAAATTACTTTGTGGCCCTTGGAGGCCCCCAAGTTTGAGACCCTGTGGTCTGTCCTGGCTGCTTTAGGGACGCTTGTCAATCATGTCGAATGGAACCAACAAGCAGACTCCACGTTTGAGCCAGGAGCTTTGAGCTGGTATTCACTGAACAGGTATTCCTGTGAATGCTTCTTACTCCTCTCCTTCTTAACTTTGGGCCAAGATTCATGAACGCAGCCAGGCAGAGCAGCCCATTCAAAACCCTTCCTGGAGCAGGCATAGGTGAGCTGCCCTGACGCGCACAAAAGAGACATAGACAGAGGTGGGCTCCTAACAAGGCAGACACCATAGCACGCAGGACCCCAGGGTCTGCAGTCTGCAAAACCCAGTGTGAACTGGGTGTGTTTTTCCTCCTTCTGGGCTTTTAAACATCCGATGAATAACTGAGTGGTGAGTATATTCTGTACTTTGGTAGAAATCCACCCACCGAGCACTCAGCCTTCAGAAACTGTGCCTGAGACACAGTCCTTGGGGAACGCACTAATGTGCTCGTTGGTGGAGAAGAGGAAGTCATAATTTGACACCGAAAAACCAGCCACATGAAAAGGCAGGTTGATTCATTAAAACCAGCTCTCTCCCCACAGTAATTCAAGAACAGCAGAAAAACAGACAAAGAAGAGGAAGGGAAGGTGAGAGGTGCCAACAGAGGCCAGTGTCAAAGGAGGTGAAGATGTGACGTGTCGTTCCTTCGGGGCGGAGGGTGTTTTGAGGGGGTGGCATTTGGTCTAGTCCTATGGGTACCCCAGATCTCATGGGGTGCTGCACCCATAGGCAATGGTACCTTTGGTGGACCGTCTCTGGGGGCAGAGCAGGCTGAAGCTGTGGACGGTTGTGGTCACTTGCCTGGCCCCGGCCACCCTGCTGTGTGTCCTGGGAACCAGCCCTTGCATCCCTCGTAGCTCTGGGCAGTGACATCCTGCTTGGATTTCACCTGGCTTGGAGAAAGCTGGCCTACCACCACTCTCAGAGGCCCCGCAGGCTGCTCTACCCAGGCTCACGCTTCGCCTCTGCTTCCTTAGCAACATGTGGTCTTTCTCCTCAAAAAAAAAAAAAAAAAAAAAAAAAAAAATCATTTCTTCTTTTCAGCAGCTGATTCTGGACAGAGGTGGATCACAGCAGCTTGGTAGCAGGTCCTTTGGTGCTCCAATTCATTTTATTATTTTTTTAACCCACTTGTCTTTTTCGTATGAGAGATCCTGAGGGTTTCCTGTAAGCAGACTGGTTTTCTTTGTCACTCTATCCATCAGAAGTTGTTATTAATGACTCAGTGGCACATCTGCAATGGGATGGGAATTTATTTTCATAATAATGGCCTGGAGGTGGCTTGGGTTTCTACAGGGACTGATCAAGAGAAGATGAAACCATGCTCAGTATACAGGAGGCTTTCCAAATTGGTGGCAGATCGCTTCCAGTCTAGTCCAGAGAGGGATCTGTCAGCATCCATAATAAAAATGCAGCGGGAGGAGGAGGGCCGAGGTGGCAGAGACCGAGCCCGGGAGAGCATGAGTCAGACCCAGATGGTCCCACTTGGCCTCTTCATTCTTTTTCTTCTTTTTCTCGTCCTCACCCCAAACCAAAGCTCCTGTCAGTGAGGGTGGGATGTAATTAAACCCATCCATCCACTGCATCATTTATTCATTCACTTATGCATTCGTTCAGCAAAGACTTGTTGAGCACCTGCTAGGGGCTGGGCACCATTCTGGATGTTGGGGACACAGCAGGAACAAGGCCCAGGATCTCTTTTATGGAGCTTAACTAGTGGGGGATGCAGACAGCAAACAAGTATGTACAATATAAAGCAAGATTGCAAAGGATAACAGCAGGGATAGGGAGTGTGGGGTGGTTGTAATTCGAGATGGGGTTGATGCGGCCTCGTGAAAAGTGTTCTTCCAGGTCTCTACGACTCATGTAAAGCTCTTGTAAGAAGTTTTACTTGGGAAGAAAAAGTCTTTTATGAAGCCAATGTTCTTGCTTTCCTACAAGATTCAAGTTAGTAATTCCCAGACTCTTATTCTCAGAGTGGAATCTGCCGCCGTCCTTAGCTTGTGATAATCAAAGACGGGGCCAGGCTGCAGGAGGGCTCCTAGCGGCCGTGTCTGCCGCCGTTATCATTGTCACACCTTTCCAGTCTAGTGGTAGGCTCGGGAATTGCTGAGAAGCACTGGTAAAAGGGTACGTACAGTTCCAATCAGGGAACAGGCTGGAGAGGCAGTGGGAAGACATTCCATTTTCAGTTTCACAGAGCTACACTTTCATAACATACCTTTTTTTTTTTTCTTTTGCCCCCTTTCCCCAAGATAGGTTGAAGTCAAGGACAGACAAAGCAAGCAGGCTTTAGACCTCCACCATCCAAAGCTCGTGCCCAGCAGTGGACTCGCCCTCGCTCTGCCTACCTGCCCCTGCTGCCTCTTTCAGCACGGAGCCCCTTAGGAGGACAGGCCTGCAGCATCCTGGTCTCAGGAGGCTTCTCTCATAGCTTGCACACAGTTCAGATTCCCACCTCTTTGTGGACAAGAAGTGAATTCGCCTGGGGCAGGAAACCCACCCAAAGAGTCGCCACTTAACAATACCCCCCTACTACAAGAATGCCCAAATCCAAATGACCCCAGTTTTCCTAATGGGTAAAATGATCCCAGATGTGCTCCAGACCATGACGCCCGCGGCTCTGGTTTCGTGCAGGAAATTGTGTTTGAGAGGTTTGGCAAGTTGGAAAGCCACTTACTGGCTTTTGACATGACTTCTCTGGCAGAATAAGTGGCCTCCAAAGCTAACTCTCTGCAAATGTAAACATATGTCCATCTTGTAACAAATGCGAAATGCCCATGCAGCAGGAGCGTGTGACTTTCATATCCTGAAAGTCAGACCTAGAATAGGCCGCATGGCGTACGTCAGTGAAGGCCACGAGGCGTCGGCTTTAGACACGGATCATAGCTGTACAGGAGTTTATGAATTTGAAGCTTATGGGATTTAGGCAGAGAAATTTTCAGCTGTGCTTGATACCCACCAAAAGAATGTATCTCGAAAGAAGGAAAAAGAAGAAAAACGGAACCTTGATGTTTGTGACAAGAAAAGGAGACAGTATCTGCAGTATGGAGCCTGTTCCTGTTCAGTGACTGGCCCTCTGTGTTCTTTATAGACACCAGGCGGATACACAACGGAGTTCCCAGGCCTTGTTTGCAGGAAGCCGACTGTAAAGACAAGCCCCCCAGCTCAAGGCTATTAGGTTGAATATTTGCTTTCATGAATAAATGTGGATCTTTGGGGAATGGCTTCAAAATAAGCCATGAACACAAATTCTTTGTAAATTACGTAAATTCCTATTTATCTACATAATTGGCAACAACTGGGAATTGTATCGCCTGACAGTTCAAAATCTCTTTCAGCTGCACTCTTCCCGCCAAGCTGAGCTTACCGTGAGTGTGGAAATGTGACTCTGCCACGTGACCCTGCCTGCGCAGGGGAGAGGCCGCCCATCTCCCCACCCAGCTGCAGAGATAAGAACCAGCATTTGAGTGGGTGTCCAGGGCCCCTATGGAGACATTTAAGATGGTGTATGACAGAGCATTGGCCTTGACCAAATGTCAAGTTCTCTATGTGTATTTCATAAGTTATTACAGGTATAAAAATGATGACCTATCATGAGGAAATGAAAGTCGCTGATTTGCTGGTAGGATTTTGTACAGTTTAGAGAAGCAATTATTTATTGTGAAACTCTTCTCCAACTCCTTCCTGTGGATCTGTTCAAAGTAGTCACTGTATATACGTATAGACAGGTAGATAGGTAGGTAGGTTTTAAATTGCGTTCTGAATCCAAACTCATATTCCTTAGAGCTTAAATTACATTTTTAAAATGCATATGCGCTGTTTGGCACTGTGGCAAGATGGCATCTCAGAGAAACCCATTCATTGCTTGAACACTCAGAAAATACTGTCAAAAGCATAATAAAAAAAATCTAAAAGTTTGCTCTGATTTGTGGGTTTTTCCCTCACCATCTTTATATGCATGGTTGTGCATCAACTTTTCATGGACCTCTGGAGAGGACAGGAAGGAGTTGTGTTTTGGGAAGCAGAATCCATCTCAAGTCAATTATGGAGCTAGATGAGGGGCTGCCTGAATATTAAGAAAGAAGCGGGGTTTGGGACCATTCCAAGAGCATAAAACATTGACAGCAGTGAGGGAGAAACCTTTGGAGAGAGCTGGGTTTTCCCCCAGCACCCTCCTGCCTTTCTAGCAATGGGGAGACTTCCTTGTTGCCCTGACAGAGATTGCTGTGCAGGTCAGGAGTCTAGGGAGAGGGTGCTGCTGGGCGCCCAGGAGTCTAGGGAGAGGGCGCTGCTGGGGGCCCGGGAGTCTAGGGAGAGGGTGCTGCTGGGCACCCAGGAGTCTAGGGAGAGGGTGCTGCTGGGCGCCCAGGAGTCTAGGGAGAGGGTGCTGCTGGGCGCCCGGGAGTCTAGGGAGAGGGTGCTGCTGGGCGCCCGGGAGTCTAGGGAGAGGGCGCTGCTGGGCGCCCAGGAGTCTAGGGAGAGGGCGCTGCTGGGGTCTCGGGAGTCTAGGGAGAGGGTGCTGCTGAGGGCCTAGGATTCTAGGGAGAGGCTGTAGCTGCTCAGAGTTCTTGACAAACAAGGCAGAAATGATCACAACTGCAAACCTTTAAGGCTTATTAGAGAAGATTGGGGATATTCGGAAGGAGTGTGGTTTTCTTCATTTTCTTTTTTTCTTCCTTTCCTAACTTCCCCAGCTGCCTTTTGAATCAAGAATCAGAGACCACTGGATGGGGGGAATTGGAAAAAGGTCCAGCCAAAGAGCAAAGAGAAATGCAAGACGAGCAGTAGTTTGGATGGGTACCTGATCTGAGAAAATGCAAGAGCCTCTTGTCTTAATTAAACTTCGTTTAGAGAGTTTTGACTTTGATGTATTGAGATAGCGGGGTGCTCATTTATTCTTCAGGATGTGAGGCAGCACATGGCAGGAGCTGCCGTGTTCACTGGAGGCACTAACCGGACCTGGGGTCCAGAAGCCCGCCCAGGTGCCACTGAGGCCCCAAGCAGAGGACAGCCAAGGACTTCCGGGAGTCGTGGGCACTCCGAGGCCCAGATGTGGCAGGCTTTTCTGGCATCTGGGTGGAGGAATGGAGGGGTAGGATGGAGTTGTGAGCAGTTTTGGCTACAGAAATTTTAGGGCCCCTGGCTTAGAAGGAATAAGAACTTCAGATGGCATATTAAACCATGAGTGTCAAGCCCTTCTGAACATGGGATCCTGTTTACCTGGGAAGGTTGCCAGCAGATTAAGCTCAGAAAAAAGCTGTTGAGTCTGGAGACCTGGATTTGACACCAGCCTCTCCAGGTAAACCAGCCTTAAACTCTCCAGCCTCAGTTCCTTTCTTTTTCCTTTTCTTCCTTTTGAGACAGGGTTTTAATCCTGTTGCCCAGGCTGGGGTGCACCTGCACATTCACAGCTAACTGCAGCTTTGAACTCCTAGGCTCAAGCCACCCTCCCACCTTTGCCTACTGAGTAGCTGGGACTACAGGCATGCACAATTCCACCCAGCTATTTTTTTTTTTTTTTTTTTTTTTTTTTTTTGGTAGAGATGGAGTCTCACTATGTTTCCTGGGCTGGTCTTGAGCTCCTGGGTTCAAGCGATCCTCCTGCCTCTGCCTCCCTCAGTGCTGAGATTACAGGCATGAGCCACCATGCCCAGATGTCACAGCCTGTTTCTTCATTCATGAAATGGGTATAGTAATGGCCCTGCCAACTTCATAGCAGTATCAAGAGGTCAAGTCTTCAAGCTTTGCCCTGAAGTAGCCACCAGCTTCTTGTTTTAACTAGAAATTTCTCATGGAGGCACATTTTTGAATTTATAATATACCTGCAAGTAATACAATTTGATTTATAGAAATTGTCAGGATAGTTAATTTTCTGCCCCCGGAAGACATATGTTCTTCAAATCCCAAAATTCTTATATGGAAATTTTTAAGTATCTAAAAGCTTAAGCAAATGAAGTTACCTGTTACTGAGACCCTTTTAAGTCTGCTTGGCTCCTTCCATCACTGAATATGCAATTTCTTCTTCTCTGCTGGCAGGGAATTCTCAGAATTGTTGAGATCTGGGTGGTATCTAGTGTGAGGAAACTGTAAGAATTAGTTCCCTGTCAGAGGCCAGAATGAATGAATACAACCACCCGTCTGCTAGGGGTGTCTCATTAATCCTTCCAGCATTCCAGAACCATGTACAGAGTAAATGACAAAAAGCTGGGTGATAAATGGAAGAGGCAGAGGGATTAGAAATTCATGGCAGAGAATAAGAATCCCGTGACACAGGAAAGGCATCCAGTGACCCTGAACTTGCCCCCTTTCCTCTCTGCCTTCCTCCTTCCCTCCTCCTCTCCCGTCTCCTCCTCCATCCTTAGTTGAACAACCTCCCTCGTGGAACTACCTTATGTAAATTCCTACTTATCTATATGATTGGCAAGAACCTTCAGGAGCAAGTCTGGCTCTGGGGGGTTGCACCATCGGCAGGACAATTGGACCTTTTCATGGGCTTGCTTTTTGCTTATTTCATGAAGGGGTGTGCTCGAAAAGGGTCCCTACCTCCTCCTCTACTTTCACTTGCGTAGCAAATGTCCACTTTGGATATTTTGGTGTTAGATTAATATTGGCTCCAGAAAGGAGGTGGAGGTAGAGGAAAAAAAAAAAACCCGAAACCCCTTCTGAACAGAGTTAAGTGTCTAGCATGCTGCCTTGCAAATAGAAGGCACTCAATTGATGTGCAATAATTCTATATATAAAGAGATGAAATGGAGCTGTAGCAAGACAGGGAGTATTGGCCCAGTCTGGGGGTGGTAGGAAGACTTCTTGGAGGGGATGAGTAAGAGCCAGCCAAGCCAAGCAATGCAAGAAGGACATCCAAGTAAAGGGATGAGCTTTGTTCCTGAGCAATGGCTTGGAGAAGAAGGCAGCAGAGCTCTGCGCTCAAGGAAAGCCGACACACTCAGGATCTCAGGAACGACAGGTAAGAGGCAGGGCCCAGTGGGAGGAGGGAAGATGTAGACTGAAAGCCAGAGCCACAAGGAATAGATGACCAGGATCATGACACAAAGAACTGAAGCCAACCTGTGACCTTTGAGCCATCTTGCATGCCTTGCAAGGGTAGGGTTCAGACAAGCTCTTTGTCTCAAACAAATGTGAATCAAAGAGTGGACTGCCTTTGTCTATGTGGAGATAGGTTCTTCGTTTTGCTATTTTTAGACACTCCCCTATACTACTATGCCTCCTGACATTCTTCCCAGTACCATCTTGCAGAAAACTGGAGCGATCATCTAGCTGAACCCTCAAAAAGGCTTTTGTCCTCCGCGGCCAGGAACCTGACTGTCTTCATCCCACCATGGGTTGAGTCTACTACACACAGAAGATGTTTATCACACACGTGTTGAATGAACAAACACAAGTAAACAAACACTGAATCTATAGAATGGAGATTGGCACAATTATACTACTTTACTATCAGTAAATATTATATTATTTTTATAAATATTAAGAGATTTTCGGCTTTATGGGCTGCATGGTGTCTGTTACAGCTGCTCTGCCCTTGTGCCTGGAAAAAGGCCACAGGTAATGTGAACATAAACAGGCATAATCCTGTTTCATTAAACCTCGTTTACAAAAAGGGTCAGTGGAAAACCAACTGAGTGCCCAACATCTCAACCCAACTCTGACTTTCTCCACCTGGAGTCAGCATCAGAGCCAGCAAGTTAAGGTCTCAGTCCTGCAAGGCTGCCCCTACTTCAGACACTAGCCAGACCACTGGGGTCCCCAGCTGATCCACATTTCTTCCCAGCCTACTATAACTTTGGGGGTTCCATAAGCTAAGCTATACCTCTATGCTTGAGAACTCATTAGAACAATTCCCAGAGCTCGAGGAAGTACTGTGTGTACAACTTCCGCTTGACTATAAAGGATGGGGCCCAGGAACAGCCCCATGGAAGACAGGCAGGGAATGAGGTGCTGGGAGAGGAGGTTTCTAGCCTCCAGTACATCTATGTGTTCGCCAACCCCGAAGCTCCCTGAACTTACTTAAGGCTTCTCGTGGCGGTTTCATTACCTAGGCCTGATGGATTAAATCATTGGCCATTGGTGACTGAACTCAAGCCCAGAGGTCAGGGGGATGGAAGGGAAATTCCAAGGCCAGGGAGAGAGCTTTGTTCCCATTGACTCCTGTGCGAGTCTGGCTCCTTTGTGATTGGGCCAGCGTGGGTCCTGTGTCCATCCCGAACCAATCACTGGGCTTGAAGGTTATCATGTAAAGAGTGGGCTAGGCTCTGATACTCAGCTTTTGGACCCAAAGGAAGTTTGGATGCTTTCCCCAGAGGAGGGCAAAATGGATAATGAGCAGCAAAACCCATCAAGGGCCCATGGGAGGTACCTGGTAACCTAAGAGCCTTGATAAGGACAGTGTGCCTGTCTAGAATTACGTGGATTAAATGCTTCGTCCAAGAGGAGTCATGCACGGTTTTCATCAATTTCCAGCCTCCAATATGAATGCCTCTCAGCAGGCTTCTTCAGATCCTTCTTCCCAACCATCTGTGTGGTCCGTGTTTCTCACTAGAGAAGACCCAGTGACACCTTCCTTTATTTCTCTCTATAACCTGTGGTCCAGGAAACGGCCTAATGTTATAAATAGGGGAAAGATGATTGAACGGGAAAATTGCGTTCTGTTTTTGAAAGTGTCAGAGGACAATTTCTCCCAAATCACAATGCAACGATAAGCCAGTGGCCAGTGAGTGAGTGACGTCATTTTAGGGATGCCCAAGAAATTATTATCACAACCATGTCCCAGTCATACCTGAGGTCAGTGTATCTGGAGTTCAAAAGTTCAACCTTAAATATCTTAAGTATGCATTCATTTAGTTGCCAGGATCAAAAACCAGGGAAGCTTCTTCCTGGTAATTAACTGACTAACCTTGGGACCCAGAA